ACATGTGCACACATGTACACAGGGCACTGCCTTACACATGCACACTGCATATAGACCTGTGCACACATACATTCACATACATGCACACATGTGCACACACATGCACACAGGCACTGTCTGCACACTTGCGCACTTCACATAGAGCTGTGCATGCACACACATACATGCACACATGAGCACACTCACACAGAAATCAACCAGAGACCCCAGTGAGACAGAAGCAGCTCTGGCCCCCAGGAGACCTGTCACTTGCTTTGCCAGCTCTAGAAGGGTCTCTGGGAGTCACGCCCCCAAGCCCCCTGCCCACACCTACTCAGTAAAAGTCCCAGCGCATGTTTTAAAGATGTCGAGCAGTGAGGTTTTCCCAGTCTTCCCTGGACGTCCGTCCATCTGCTGTCATTCTCATCCCCGCTCAGCATTCTTGGGCCCCCATGGTACCCAGAGCTTCCAAAAGACAGGATGCAGGGCCAGTGGGGAAGGGGTCCTCTTCCCCCCCTGGAATAGCCCTCCTGCTCTCCAAGAGGTCAGTTTCCAGTGACCTCACTCCATCAGCCTTGGCTCCCAGTCAGTCAGTCAGTCAGTCACAAGCTTCAGGGCCCTGAGGTCCATTTGCTTCTAACACTATCATCTCTCCAATAATTGAGCAGGACCCAGGAGCTGGGAGGGCCCTGGGCCTGGGCCTCCGGCAGTGATGTTAGAAATGGCTGGGCACAGCCTCAGGTAACCGTGGGGAGAGGGACATCCCTGTGACTGAATGGGCTCTGAAGAGACAAGAAGCACCTCAGCAGCAGCTAGAGGTCTGTGCATCTGGACTTGGTGCTGTCCACTCAAAGGACCAGCCCACATTTGGGATATACTTTCTCTCGATGTCTACCAGGGGGTGATGGGGAGGAAGCTCTTGACCTCAGAAATTGCCAGCGCAGCCCCCAGTGAAGGGTCAAAGGATCTGGAGGGGGAAGAAGTGCATATTGATACCCCATATACACATCTGATCTCCATGGCAACAGTGACTAAGAACAGAGCCCAGGACCCACTCCGGTCATCTCCTGCTCTAGCCAGGCCTGTAGCTCACCCAGGAGGACATGGGGAGGGGCAGCGCCAGCCACAAGCTGTCCACCCACCTCTAAGAGGGGGTCCTCCAGAAAAGCCCCCACAGCTGACTAGGCAAGTCTTTGCGATCTAAAGATGTCAGATAGACTTCACTATGAAGCTCTTTCTCCGATCCCCCAAGGTGGAGTCTCCTGAGATATTCCAATAATCAGGGAGCACTTGTGCCCTCCCAGATGCTGTTTGGACTCTCAGGGGTCACTTCCAGGCCAGTTGGACCTCAAGGAGCCCAGCTCAGGCCAAGTTCTGAGTCCAGTGTCAGGGGCCCAGGATGATGAAACCGAGACCACAGTGATGGTCTCTTACTGATGGGTAAACTGAGTCAACAAGAGAGCCCAGGGATCTTTCCTTTTACAGCCACGCCCTTGAATTACAGGAGCCCCTAGCCTCCCTGTGCAGAAAGGAAAACAAGTTCAAGTCTAATGACAGCCATGTGGAAACGGAGGCGTTCTTAACCCTCTTTCTGCTCCCCTCCCCACCCCCCTGAAGACTGCTCAAGGACATTCTAGAAACTTCTGGAGGATATCCCTTCTTAACACTAAGGAGCCTGCCTATCTTTAGTTTCTTTGGTTTGTGGTAATGCGGGAAGGGAGGACCCCAGGTAGGTAGGTCTCTGTCCCTAGAACAGCAAGATGGGCAACAGATGACCCCAGGCTGAAGCCATCTCCAGCATAAGGACTAACAACCTGGCAAGTGAGGTGTCCCCTGGTTTCTACAGCAGTTCGTGCTGGTTGGAGAGGCTGACCACCAGGTCCCATGGCAACAAACAGCACTGGACAAGAGTAGCCTGGAGCCCTGCCCCCAAGGGTGACCAAGTCCATGGGAATCCAGATGGGAGGAAGGAACCATTCTGCCACCCTTGACAGGACTCCCAAGGGCTCTTGGGGAAGAGGGTCTGCAGACAAAGGCTTCCCTCAGGAATGGAGGGAAGGGGGTGAAACTGATGGAGGTACCCACCATGCTGGGGACCTTTCGCCTGCTGAAGGGTGGGGCTCAGGTTTCCAGAAGCCAGCCTCCAGCCCAAGGGCCCCCTGAGGCACCTCAGCTAAAAACAGGCCAAGCTTTTGACTTGGAAGATGCCAGGTCACTGTATAAGGGAGGCAATAGCAAGACAAGGGCACCAGGACTCGGAGGGAACCAAGCAGGGGGCAGAGTGACCAAATAGGAGGTGGAGAAGCAGGTGGACCAGGGAAGGGCCTGAACTACAGGAAAGAGGCAAGTCACAACCAAGTGTCAGCACATGACAGCCACTGCCTTAACCCTGGCAGGCCAGACCCCTACACGCTGCTCTTCCAAGGATCTGCCCACCTGGGTCCTCATGACAACCCCTCCATTTCAGATCATCTGTTCCTTGGATGAGTCAGCCAGGTGCACACTCTGGGCTCCTGGGCACATACCTGTTTGCATCAGGTCTCCCACCCCTGAGGCTGCCCACAGCACATCAGAAGGAACTCTGGAGGGCATACCCCTTCTACAAAGGGAGAAGGGGAGGACAAGGGAATTACAGCTGGAAGCAAATCTAGACTCAGCCTCGGGACCCTGGGCCAGTGGTTTGAGCTGAAGGCAGGAAGAGCTCCATCTCTCTTCACAGGTTGTAAAAGGTTCAGGTGACTTGTACCCAAAGTTGGTGCCTGAAACCCACTGAACAGAGGGGCAGGCCCTTCTCAACCACTAGGGGGCAGCACAGCGTTACGGCCTCCAAGCTTTGTCCACCACCCTAAAATAGACTTTCTGCTCCTGAAAAGACCACAGCCTTAGTAACCATATAGGGGTCTCTATGGCAGTGGGTCCTGGTGTGGCGCTGTGGGTTAATGCGCCAGACTGCAAAGCCGTTTGAACTGCAAAGTCGGTGGTTCAAGCTCACCAGTCTCTCCTTGGAAACCCTATACAGGGTCGCTATGGGTCAGAAC